ATGAAAGCAGTGACATTTTTTTTTCATATTTTTCCAACTGTAGGTTTGATTCTTCTTCCTGATAGCTCTTTCTAAGCATATATTTGTACTTCATCCCCAGAATTTCCTGTGGTTTGAAATTCTTTTGCTGACATGAAAACAGTTGTGATTGGAAAAGCAGAACAGTGTTGAAACTGGTAATACATAAAGCAGTTGAACTTATTAATATGGCTCAGAAACAGGATAGAAGTAAAAGGTGCCATTTCCTATGTGTAAATGGAAAACCTATGAAATGGAGGGCTGGGAATCTCTCATGATTGCATTGACAGACCATGCAAATAGCAGGATCCACTTATAGAGACTGACTTGAAGGACCTAAAGATCCAGTGTCAGTCCCAGCAGAGACTCTGTGTGAAGTTTGTTTGTGCAAGGGACTGCTGTAGATGTGATGAAATAGCTAAATGCTCCTTAAGAAGCTGACTCTTTGGGAGCCTGTTGTTATGTTTCTGCTATAAGACACGGGAGAGGCTGTATGAAAACCTTGCCATTCCACTTCACCTTGCCTTGCATCTTATTAGCATTGGCATTTTATCAGGATTGTAATAAGACTTTACTCAGTGCTTGGTAATTTCAATAAACCTTCCTGAAGTAGGATGCTGTGGGACTCCTGTGCAAGGCATTCAGCTCCCTCTTTTCCCCTGACATGAATTGCACTGATCGAACATGGCTCTGCATGACTCAGTGTGTTTCTGGCCAAGTGCGTCTTAATGTATGTTTTCTTGCCAAGCAGCGATGTCCCCTGCCTTAGTGAGAAGTATATTTTTTTTCATTGCTAAATGAAAGGGTGGATTCCAGAGCCCCTCACTTCTTTCTGCAGACATCACATCCCCGAAGCATAAATTTATCACCTGCTGAAGGGAAACGTTTTTGTGGGAGCCACTTGTTAAAATACTGGCACCATCTCCCTGCCTGGGCCACCCACGCGGTCTGGCTGCCTGGAGGTGTTTCCATCAGCATGTGCTATGTTGTCGGACCCACATTTATGGCACTGACCCATTAACTGCAATCCTCCCTTCTCCCCTTCAGGAACGAGATGGCTTTTATTTCAAAGTGTTAATATATGTGGTAGAGGAGTGCTCCTGCTCAGATACGGCCGCTCTGTGCTAGCTGCAGATGCATACTTGTTTCAGAGGTGTTGGAACAGCTCAGGAGAAGGCCAGGTTGAAGCTAGACCTTAAATGAGTGTGTGGAACATGAGGGTAGAAAATCTTTTCTTTCTCTACATTAAGCAGTACTCAGCTGTAGCATGTTGAAGAAACATTTATTTCAGCACTGTGACCTTTAAAGGGACAGACAGGACAGAAGAAGGGCTGTTCCCTTTCTTCTTAGTAAACCAGTCCTAGAAATAAGAAAACTGTGTTGGGTGTGTGTGGCAGGGTTTTGGTAGCAGTGGGCCTAGAGGGGTGGCTTCTGTGAGAAGCTGCTAGAAGCTTCCCCAATGTCTGACAGAGCCAATGCCAGCCAGCTCCAAGGCGGACCCTCCACTGGCCAAGTCTGAGCCCATCAGTGACAGCGGTAGTGCCTCTGGAATAGCAGATTTAAGAAGGGGAAAAATTTGCTGCACAATGGTAGTCAGAAGAGAGGAGTGAGAACCTGTGAGAGAAGCAACTCTGCAGACACCTAGGTCAGTGAACAAGGAGGGGAGGAGGTGCTGCAGGCACCAGAGCAGAGATTCCCCTGCAGCCCGTGGTAAAGACCATGGTGAGGCAGGCTGTGCCCCTGCAGCCCATGGAGGACCCCACGCTGGAGCAGATGAATGCCCCTGAAGGATCCTGGCAGGACCTGTGGCCCTGTGGAAGACCCACTCTGGAGCAGTCTGTTCCTGAAAGATGGCACCACATGGAAGGGACCCACGCTGGAGCAGTTCAAGAACTGTAGCTTGTGGGAAGGAGTCATGTTGGAGAAGTTCCTGGAGGACTGTCTCCTGTGGGAGGTACCTCACACTGGAGCAGAGAAAGAGTGTGAGCAGTCCTCCCCCTGAGGAGGAAGGACTGTCAGAGACAACATGTGATGAACTGACCACAACCGTTGTTCCCCATCCCCCTGCGCCGCTGGAGGGGAGGAGATAGAGAAATTGGGAGTAGAGTTGAGCCTGGGAAGAAAGGAGGGGTGAGGGGAAGGTGTTCTTAAGATTTAGTTTTATTTCTCATTATCCTACTCTGATTTGATTGGTAATGAATTAAACTAATTTCCCTGAGTCATGTGTGTTTTGCCCATGACAGTAGTTGCTGAGTGATCTCCCTGTCCTTATCTTGACACATGAGCCTTTTGTTGGATTTTCTCTCCCCTGTCCAGCTGAGGAGGGGAGTGATAGAGGGGCTTTGGTGGGCACCTGGCATCCAGCCAGGGTCAGCCCACCACAAAACCATATTACCTTGAAGATGGAAAGAATAGGCAAGTGGCAGGGACCCCACAAAGACTTGATGTTTTCTTCAACCGCTGGTAAATGTCTCACCTCTTGGAAACCCCTGTTCTCTGCTGCAGCCAGAGGAGAGGCTGGGCTGGAGGCAGCTGAGGCCATGGGGGGATGAAGGCATCACAATTTGGAGCTCCTCCAGGAAAAGCTGCCTCTTCTGCACTTGGGTTGTGATGCACAGACACTTAAAACTGATCTTTCTGGGCTTTGTTTTGGTGGGGAATGAGTATTCTCCTGCAGCTGTTGTCTGCTTGGCACCTACATAGGCACACCTGGACTGAGTAGGTGAAGGAGAAGCATAAGGTCTTCTTGCTCTCATCTCTCACAGGGCTAGTGGAGGAGCTGGGAGATGGTGGTAGAGCTGTTTGGGAAATGGAGTTTAGATTCAGTGAAAAAAGTTAGAGCATTTTGATGTTATTGTAATCTGGAATTAGAGTATAAAGACAAAATAGTAAAAAGTGTCAAGGAAGGAAATTTTTCTAAGAAAAAAATGATGTGGAGCAAAAAAGCTTTTAGATATTTGTGGTCAGAATGAAGCATTTCAGTATTGTGAAAGGAAACAGTAAACTGGAATGTCAACTTACAGCTGAAACCATTTGTTTCAAACTGTATATTCAAACAAAAAGTATTTTGTAAGGGCAATTAAAAGCTAAAAATGTTTTTCAGACATAAACATTTTCTAAATTCTAAAGAAATGAGATTTTCTGAGAAAAGCATTATCTGGAAATCACTCAGCTACCTCTAGGTTGTAAGTGCCAGAGTTGTAAGCATGGCAAATAGCCCCGGTGCTGCTCATTAATTTGGATGTGCATAAGGGAAACTTCTGGGTTTGAGCTTCCCTTCCCCTCTGAGCAGAGGGGTACAGATGCTGCACATGTATCTGCTTCCTGGCCACGTTCTGCTAAATTGTACTGGGGTCACCAAGCATTTTTAATAGTAAGTTTCTTGCCAACCTGGATCATTCTGACGAACTAGATTTTGGAGTGATTACATGTGCTGCTATGCTTTGAGGAGACTTTAAGCTCTGGAGAAAAGCAATGGTCAGAGGCACTAGCTTTTTCACCCAGCTCAGCTGCAATCCCAGGTGGCACGTCTGACTTGCAGCCACACACTCACAAGACAAAGTTACAGAGCGTGTTTTCTTCAGTGGTGGAGCTGGCATAATAAATTCCAGCCTACACGCCCCATCCTTCCTCTCCAGCTCTTCAGATGCAGCTGTGGACTTGTCCTGTCAGCCTAGTCAGCAAAGATGGACTGAGTTAAAACCAGCCCTGTTCTTCAGAGGTTGTTTCAGAGCTGGCTGAGTGCAGAGCTCCACAACAGCTCTTTCAGCCCAGCCGAGGAGATGTCGGAGTGGTTGGTACCCACCCAGGTCGGTGTGGGCTGCCCTCACCAAGGCGGCGTGGCACGCCTGTGCAGGAGCTGCGTGGGCCATGAAGAGCTCACACCATGGATGTGGTCCCAGCACAGTGAGGGAAGGCGACGCAGAACAAAACGGGACTGCAGGTTTGGTCCCGCTCGGTGTGACCTAATGCTCACCATGGTGCTTGTCAGAGAAAAGCCTTGGTTTGAGCTCATAGGATTATGCCGCCTTCTGCTGTGGCTTTTTCTTGATGCTGTTCTTTGTGTATCTATCTAGAATTATTTAGAAACCCTTTGCGCATCTTTACTTCTACATGTGAGCTTACAGAGCAGCAAATATGAAGATTCCCGCTGTATCCTCACCTCTCTTGGAGCCAATCAAGTTCAAATCTGTTGAATTTAAGGGATTTAAACTGATACAGAACTGCTTTGAGGACAGAATCAGGCTCAAAACTTAGTAGTATGCAAATCTAACTAAGAAGCATAAATCGTTGAAACTGAAAGCAAATTCATGTTTTCAATAGTAAGGGAGAAATGTTGCAAAGGCACACAGTCGCAAATAGGCAGTCCTAATTAATTTCCTAATTAAGGAAAATGTATTGATTTGTTCCTTTCAGGGGAGTTAGGTTGCACGGTCTCCGTTAATTAGAATACACAAAGTTAAAACTAATAAATAAATAATCAGTGCCATGCCTATTTTATTTATTATGACAATCCCCCCCAAATTGATTATTCCATCATTGTTACTGTTTGTTTACCTTCTGCATTATATTCACAACTTAATGAAAATTGCCTGACCAAGTTTATTTCCCAAATGAAATGGATAGGTACAAGTGACACAAGTTTGGGACAATACATGTATTGATACAAAATATTTAAAATTTTATCTTCTGCCTGCAGTGTCCACTTTTTTGCCTAAATATGCTTGATGTTGTTCTGTTACAGTAGCATCTTGTTTTCTGCATCGTTGATGCGGTCCACAAAATTTGTAGCCCAATGTTTGATGGATATCAAAGGATACACATCTTAAATCATATCATCCTTCTTTGTGTTTGGAGGTGTCTTGTTTTAAGATTGGATTAATCTCTCCTGCCTTTTTTGTCTTGCTCTCTGTTTCTGTCCAACTTTGTTACTTTCCTGACCCTTCATCCTATTTTCTTCTGATGCTCTGTGGGTGTTTTATTTATGCAAAGTTTAACTTTAGAATCTCTGCTTTTTCCCCCAACCTAGTTTGGTACGGTGGAGATAAAACTGGAAGATTTAAATCTGTGGGTTTAGGTGTGTGTCTGAGTTGGATAAAGTTTTTCTTAGTTTTCTTGTTGAGAAAATGAGTTGGGTTTTCTTTAGACTGCCTCATACTTCTTATGGTAATAGTTTGCTGCTGGGACATGGGGAAGGCTGGTGGTTTTGAACCATCGACTAAAACTAGAGGGCATATATTTGTATGTTGCTGTGATGTCCCCAGCCAGGATATCTTTCTAGCTAGCGTTTCTCTCGGGGCAGCTTGTCGCAGCCTGGGGAAAGGCGACATCTGGGGAGAGTCAATCACGAGGAGGTCAGAGACCTCTTTATCAAGGTGCCACTGTGTTGGTATGTAAATATTGTCATCTACTGCCTTCAGAAAGGCTTTAAACCTCATGTCCTGATGAGGCAAAGGACTCCTGGTAATAATCCTGTTTTCCAATAGGGATGGGGGAGGTGCTTTGCTTGTACATGTTATTGCTTGGGCTTTTGAAGAGGGAGGTTGGTTATTTTTTGGTGTGGAATGTGATTTCTCATGAAGACATGGTTTTCCAGCTTCAGTCAAGTCTTCAAAATTATTCAGATTCTCCTGGAAGTCCAAAAGTGGCAGATACATGGGCTCACATGGCATACTTTTGCTTGATGACTTAGGAGGTCCAAGGTGGACCAACTCTCTGCCTGCAAATTTGGAAACTAAATAGAATATAGAATAAATCAGATCAGCTTCTGCTGGAATGCTCTTTTCAAGAAAAATAACATGTTCATATCAAAACAGCTTCATCCCATAACAGAAAGTCAGTACTTGTAAAGGCATAAATAAAAGTAGATCTTGACATAAAATGAAATTTTGCACCAAGAATTTGAAGCAAATGGTGATCTGCAGGTAGGCAACTGGCAATTTTTTGATTGGGTGAAGAGTCTTAAATGAGCATCTCAGCATAAAGTTGCCTGGCTTAATTTTAGTGACTATTATTCATTTATGCTTCTGGGGCTATTTATCACATTAATTTAACCATGCCACATATCTGAATAGCTGTGGGTGTGCAATAACTGACGCAGAAATAAGTCTAAATTCAGATCTGGGGTTTGATTATCCAGTCCCATGCATCTTTTATATTTTTGATACTGTGAAAAGTGATGCTATAGATGTGACTGCAACCCCTTCTTGAGTATAGTGAAGTTGTGACACTTGCACCATGCTCACATTCATCCTGGAAAAGTAAATAATTTCCTTTTTTTACTGATAAATGTCTATTCTTGAAAGTGTGTTAGCAGTACTAGCACCATCCCAGGATGACTCATATCGGAACTAGCCTGCACAATGACATGGAAAAGTTATTTGGAATCAGTACTTCCAGAGTACAAACTGGATCAGGTGTTTACCTGCTGATTTTTCCACCTGATAAAAATTAAATCAGTCACCAAACTTGGGGCTGGGAAACAGTTGCTTGAAATACTTGTAATTTCAAAACAAAGTGGAAGGATATTTCTATAGCATTTTCAGGAATAATGTTCCCTTTTTTTCCTGAATAGATACCCTAGTACCCTTTCAGACTAAGATGCCAAGACTATATTTCAGAACAGTACCTTCTGGCAAGTTTTCTTGGTTTTCCAATGTAATTGCGATCTCATCTTCCTGAATATCATCTGGCACTGCCAGGGTTAGTACAGAAGGAAAAGCCCTATTGCCGTAATTCCTGAGGTCTTCCAGAGTGCCCATTTCAGCCTTCTGGGAAATCTGAATTTCTGACTCCTTATTCAAATGTTTATCAGGGTTAATACTGTGTTTTTCTACTTCATTTTCCCTCTGAAAAATGATCAGACACCATTTGATTAGTATGGAATGAAAAAACACTTCGAACTTGAAATGAAATGACAGTATAACACGTGCAGTGGGAAATCTTATTTTTCACACAAGCCTTAGTTACACACATCAACTTTTCATCTGAGCAGATCCCATGCCAGAGGTTCTTCCTGAAATCTAGCTGCACACAGGCTGGCAGACCCCGCCTTATACCATACAGGCCATAGGAAGCATGTTTCCATGATAATCCACTGGAGACTAGAATGCCATCTTTGGAGACCCCGTAGCACTTCCTTCAAGGCTAATGGCTCACAGAGTCTGCTAACAGATGTCTAAGGGAGACCAGGCTACCACAGAGATCATGCTGCAAAGCAAAAACATTACAGGATGCTGTGAGCCACCCCTCGATCCAGAAGGAAGATTATTGTGGGACTGTTGGTGTCTGCTGTGGGGGAGGCAGCTAGCACAGGGCTAGAGCAGTGCTGGGAGGGTTTCTTCAATGGGATTGCAGCAGGAAGACCTCCATGGAGCTGCAGTAACAAGACCATGGATCCTTACAAGAGCACGGGCTCCAGGACTCACTCCTGCTGCAGTGCCATCACCCTTACTCCTACATGCATCCGACATGCACGTGGTGGTGTGTTCTCATATGTAGGACACTCGTTTATCCCATGATCCAAGGTTTCATAGTCCTCACTGTGTTAGCCTCAGGCACACTGAGTTTCAGGTATCAAAACCTTGTGAAAATGCAAGGGCTCCATGGTGGAATAAATCCCCTCCTACAGTGCTAAGTCCCAAGATGCTCTCTGCGCCGTGTGCTGCTTCTGCCAAAGACCGTCTTCTCTCAGGTCTGGCACTCCTGGAAATGAAATTTCTGAAATGTATTGAGTACCCACAAGGATGTTACAGTTCAATACCAAGCTTTTTTGCACATTCTCTATATCATCTTTGATAGACTCAGTATGTCGTTACGCAGCTACCACTTCAAGGATTATCTGTAGTGAGTTTTGATCTTTTCGCTTCCAACCCTACATAATACAAACTTCTTGCTTCCAGAATCAGAGAAGTGATTTGTTTTACTATGGTATATTTATCTCTCATGGTTTCCTTCTATTCTTTTCATTGCAAAGTACTCCCCTTGTGAAAAATATGTTTTTAATCTAACATGCCATTATAAGAAGTGGGTGTAATTTGTGGAGAAAAGGCACTTTTGAAAGCTTGCATATATTTTGTGAGTTAGCAAAAATGTTTGGAAAAATTTGAAGGGCCCCAAACCTCAAACTTGTGGGGTTACTCCATCCTTCCTACATATTTGCAGCACCCTATCACAATTAAGGAAACTATTTTTAAAGTATTTATAAAAAGAAACACAAGATGTTGAAGTTGACAACATATTGCTAAAACCACACTAGATCAATTGGGAATTTGAGATGTCATAAGCATTTTAGGCTATGCAATCAAATAGTCTCCCAGGATTTTACACACTGCTAGTTAAGAAAACAAATTTTCATCTTACATTTTGCAAGCTGTCACCTTATATACAGTATATCAGAAAACTTGCCATGACTGATTTTACTGCCAGACCTCTTAAGAGCTAATTGGTTAAGCACCTGGGCAGGAAGCTTTTTGGCAGAAATGCTATTTTCTGCAAGGACTAGCTATAAAGTTCTGGATGGCAAATTGTAATCATTAAGGCTCCCTCTTCTACAACAGAACACATAAAATGTAAATACATTGCTTGGAGAAATTACGATGCATAAAAGGACCGGCTGTTTTTTAAGTTTGTCCAATGACTTATGGCTCAAATTTGAACATAGAAAGGATCTTGTGCTTTTTTCAGGGTCAAGCTTTCAGCAGACTTCTCTAATTGCACCCAGAAAAATGAGAATCACATCTGTTTGCATCCACCAAAACTATTATTTGCATGTACAAATGTTAACTTGTGTATACAAGGAGGAGTTGCAAATACAATGACTCACACTAGTTTTTCAAACACAGGGGCTTTGTACATGAAAAATAATTTCCACAGACTTTTTTGCAGTTGTAGATTAGAAGTTCTGCTGAAAATTTGTCCCCAGGAAATTGTATGTTTCTTCGGTATTGTGTGAAAAATCGTAGCGTAGTCTGCTGCCTGGAATGAGTTGAATGCAGTGGTTTGTGAATATGTGTTTGAATTCCAAACAACGTTTTGGGCTGATTGTGTTGGTGGAATTTTTTACTGCGTGTTATTCATGATCATTGTCATGAATGCAAATACTTTTCCGTTTGTGTTGATATTTGATATGTTTGGTTCTTTTTGGACAGAATTTTCAGAAGAGCCAGATGCCAACTTTCTCTACAATTTACTGAGGGGAGGTTTTTAATTTGCTCAAAAATACTAGAGTATTTCCTTACCATAACTTTACTCCTTTATAAATATTAGCTGTCTGTAAATACCTCTTTTCATAGGCAGACAAGAAAATGCAATCCTTTCTAGACAGAAATAATGTAAACTAATGGCACTTTGTTTTCAGGGTACTTCATTTTACTTGTGACTGTTAGTTGTTACTTATTTATTTCGGTCATTTAGATTTAAATTTGCATTCATTTAGATGCAAATTCTAATTTTTGTGCATAATTTTATGCACACAAGTTGTCTTGTTGAGCTCAGTGAAACTATTCACATACTTAAAGCAGATGCATACATTTGCAAGATGTGGAGAGCTGAAAGGAAATTATGTGATTTAAAGATGGATCACACACTGCTAGTAATAAATAGCAAATAGTTGGCATTATACAGAATAGAAAGAACATCTATCTATGCATTTTGAAATATTCTTGGCATAATTTGTAATGCAAATATCAAATACCCATGCTGTTGTAATTAAGCTCCAGTAAAATTACCAGGATCGCAACAAGAAGATGAGGGAAAAGTGGGAAATTTCCCCCTCACACTCAGTTAACAATCTGCTTCCTCAGTTTCGACAGTCTGTGGCCGGGTGGTCAGAGAAGTGCATTGCAGCCTGCCAAAGAGGTGGTTGAATTTGGCCTCTTTTAGACCAAAGCAGAGAATCCTCCCCCCAAGATAACGCTCTGCCTGCTGCCTCCTCTGAGAGCCACGCCAGCACAGCGTGGGCTAGGCTCCAGGGGAGCTGGGGGCTGCCCTTGGCTCTGCCTCTGCCCAAAAACTTCATGCCACCCGTGCAGGGCTCCGCCTTGGGATCCAAGAGATGCATTCTTTTCTTTTCCCTATATACTTTGCATACGCTTAAGGCTAAGTTTTGCCATTGTATAAGCATGTGCATAAAGTAGCTTTTGCTGAAGAACAGGCCAAAGGATAGTGGAGAAATAAGAACATTGAGTAAGAATGCCCAACTTGATTTCTTAGCCAGACTTCCCTGCTCTCTCCCCTCTTTCTGCCCAAACCCCAGCCTTTCTGGGCAGTTTGAATATTATTGAACATCAGAGAAACTGGCTTAAGGTGGTAGCACTGATAGTCATGAGTTGACAGAGCTCCTGGGGAGGAGTGATTGCATAGGTTAATTGTGTATAAGGCTTGAATAAGAAACAGCCAAGAGGTGATCATTATTAACTACAAATAGTTTCAGAGCCTAACTACTAGCAAGGGAGAAATATGAATTTTCACAATATAGAAAACTGTAAGAGGGAGTAGAAGGATGAAATTAAGAAACAAACACTATAGAGTGACTATCTTGGACAAAAACTATGAGCTTTATGAACTCTTTGATAACAGAATAATCTCCAAATGGTACTAGTAGCACTTTGTGTTTATGATTTTAAAGGTAGCACTTACAAACCTTGTTCTAACAAACAAGAGGAAGTGAACTTTTAACAACAGATGGTATGAACTTTTTAAAGATGGTATGAATTGGTCTGTTCTAATTCCCAAATTTCTATGTTTTAGTAACAGATATTAGAAGGTATTATTTATGATAGAATCCAGTCTGCCAAATTTAGGCATCTAGCTTGTGCCTTTATTTCAGGTTCTCAGCAAAGTTGTCCTCCTAAAAGTGAGTATTTTCCCTGCAAAGCCATCGAAGGGAGATTCTGTCTGTCTAAATGCAAATTTAAGAAGTCCCCACACAGGCCATGTGAAGATTTGCAGATCAGCATTGTTTTGCGGTGCAGAAGAAAGAACGGCACACCTGTGAGCTACATGGAAAGGGAAATAGGGAAGGTGTAGAAACAGGGAACTGTGATATGACACACCTGAACAGACCTCAGAGTACGTACCCAGTTTACAGACTAGACAGATCCCCACTAGGTTTAAGTTCAGCAAGGGGAAGTGCAAAGTCCTGCACCTGGGGAGGAACAACCCCAGGCACCGGTACGTGCTGGGGGCCACCCAGCTGGAAAGCAGGTTGGCAGAAAAGGACCTGGGGTCCTGGTGGGCACCAAGTTGACCGTGAGCCAGCAACGTGCCCGTGCTGCAAGGAAGGCGAATGGGGTCCTGGGCTGCGTTAGGAGTGTTGCCAGCAGGTCGAGGGAGGAGGTGCTGCCCCTCTGCTCAGCGCTGGTAAGGCCACCCCTGGAGTGCTGTGTCCAGGGCTGGGCTCCTCAGTGCAAGAGAGACATGGGTATACTGGAGAGAGTCCAGTGAAGGGCCGTGAAGATGGTGAAGGGACTGGAGCGTCTCTCCTATGAGGAAAGGCTGAGAGAGCTGGGACTGTTCAGACTGGAGAAGGGAAGGCTCAGGGGGATCTCATCTATATCTACAGATACCTGCAGAGAGGGTGCAAAGAGGACGGAGCCAGGCTCTTTCCAGTGGTGCCCATTGACGAGACCAGAGGCAGTGGGCACAAACTGAAACAGGAGGTTCCCTCTGAACATCAGGAAACACTTTTTCACTGTGAGGGTGAGCAAGCACTGTTACTGGTTGCCCAGGGAGGCTGTGGAGTGTCCATCCTTGGAGTTACTCAAAAGCCATCTGGACATGGTCCTGGACAACCAGCTCTAGATGGCCCTGCTTGAGCAAGGGAGTTGGACCAGATGACCTCCAGAGGTCCCTTCCAGCCTCAGCCAGTGTGTGATTCTGTGATGCTGTGAAAGTCACCACTGTTTTGAGTTGGTAGCTGGCTAGAGTATCTTGGGTCAGTACCAGTTTGGGTTTAAACCTTTGACTGGAAAGAAGTCAACACAGAGAAAGAAAATGTCAGTCATTCCTTTGTTAAACTTCCCTTCTTTTCCTCCTTGCTTTACTAAACCTCCAGCCTGCCTGGGAAATGTATATATACTAGGACTTCAAAACAATAACTTGTAGTGTTATGACCTTACAATCAGAGACATTTCTGGGGTTTGTACTTGATTTTATCTTGACTTTCTGCCTTAAGAAGGCATTTTGGATGCCAGGAGTGGCAGGAAGCAATGCAGGCCCTTAATCAGCTTGTAATTTACTTTATGCACATGAACCCTTCCCTCTTCCACCCGGGTAGGACGCTGAAAGAGGTCACAGAGGACGTGAAACGCTACCACTTGCCTGGAAGGCTAGATCTCTAGGGGCTGTAAATCAGCTTGATATCCAGAGATTCAAGAAAGCTGGTCAATAGCCTTCACAATACAGCTCTTTTTGAGTGACTTATGATTTAGCAGATCCAATTTAAAATTATATTATGAAAAAAATCACATATGTGAAGGAAAACCTCCTCCTGCTAAGCATGCACACACACACACACTTGCCCCAACTCATATTTTTGAGTTATGGCTCTGCCTGCAAACACTGCACAGGCTATTGCGACCTTGGGGCTGTGTGCTGGGATGGAGATCTGGATCTGCTCAAGCTCATCTGAATAATTTCTGGAGGAGTCAACTGGACCTTCTCAAAATACAGCTTCTCCAGGGTGAAAGCTTTGAATGAGAGGCTAATCGCTGATGTGTGTTGTTTTGTAGCTGAAACTTTTCCCATTGCACTTGTGTGTTAGAAACTGGAATTTGGCTTCCTGTCTGCCTAGTTTCTGCCTGAAGCAAAATTTTTATGACTGAGCTGTGAACCCCTTAGTGGAGACGGTTGTAAAAGAAAAGCTTACAGCCTTTTTAACTAATTGTGGCCTCACCAACGATTATCATAATTTTCTGAATTTATTTTTTAAATTTTTGTCCCCTCTGATCTCACTTCATGTCCCTGAGTGAGTTGGAGCTGAAGTGTGAGCATAAGATACGGTGATAAAAATATTTTTAAAAAGTTGCTGGGAAAAGATTTTACAACTTTCACAGCTTCCCACTCACCTCCTCAGACTTTGGATCAGGGCCTCATGGACCAGTCAGAAAGAGAAGGGATGGCAAGGTCATTGAGATGCTAATGCTCCTTTTCCCAATGGAAAAGTAATCTTTTATGTAAAGCAAAATAATTCTCGATCCCATTACAACCAGCAGCCCATTTTTAAGATTCATTAGTCATTAAAAAAGGGTGTATTTATCTCTGGGAAAAAAAATCTCATAAAATAATCACCTCTGAGAATGCCGGAACATAGGTTTCCTGAGACTGCACCCAGATCTGCAGTTTCATTACTATTTTTGGTGTGTTTTGTCTCCATTCCACAGACAACTACCTTTTCCACTTGTGCTTGTGTGTCTGTCATGATGTTTTTCATAAGAATCCAGGCAGCACTTTAGGCCTTAATGACAGTGGTATCCTACCTGGGCTCTTTTGCGGTCTTTCTGGTACCTGAGCAGTTTCTTCAGCAATAAGCAATAAGAAGCCATGGCAGGAGAGGGTCTATTCTTTATTAAAATGTTGATAACTTCTGAAAGACTGAACTCCATCATTTCTGTCATGTAGTTTAAAACAACAGGATTCAATTCATGGGGGCAACGTCTGAAATATTAGGAAAATGTATTTAAATACGAATGATGCATCCATGTACAATGTCAGAATCTACAGTAAGAGGACAACATACTTCTTGTGATGTAGCTGGAGTAAGCTAGGTTGATTTTACAGACAAGTTATGAAACACATTTGTGCAGAAATCCTCTGTCTGGCTATGCTAGCCTCACTGCTGGGCCGAGGCTGTGTTACTGCATTATTAAATATCCTATTGTTGATATAATTGGTTACTCTGAAAGGACACCCACCGGGATTAAGCTTGAATAATTAAAAGATGGAAAACAGCATTTTCTCCTTTTAATCGAGTGTGTATATTTTGGTTCTCAGTAAAGTAGTCTCAAATAGATTAACAGAGAGATAGTGTGTGTGCATGTGCATAAGAAGACGGGAAAAGCCCCAAGGGCAGGAAAATCTCAAAGGACAAAAAAAGAACTAAGGAAAGTACAGGAGAATGTTTATTTTTATATAAATCAGATTGTGAAATAAAACCGGTTATGTTACATAATGATAATTATTTTGCTCACAGGCTTCTGTGACTAGTAAAGTCTAGAAAAGGCGTTTTAGAAATACGACAGCCCTGGATTCTGAGACTCTTAAGGCATTTTTTTCAAACTTGTCAAACTTCAGTATGAATGGGCACAGACAGATCTGAGGCGAGGGAAGGAGGGCAAAGGTAGGAATGATGGGCAGTTCTTAGAGAAATGAACAAATTGCGCATAGATTTCCAATAGCCCTGGCTATGACTGGCAGTGGATCGCCTGGATTGTGGTAGGAGAACCTGCCACCTGTCCTGTGGACATCACTGCAGATGGTGTAGATTACACAGGCCAAATTACTCTCTTTTCAATTAGTATAAACCCTTGACTTCTGCAGAATGATCTGAGCACAAAATATTTGACCCATGACTGGCTACTTTTAGCAGTGAGGAAGATGTAAAAGGTCCATAATTGAAATTAGCTATTTAAAGACATGTAAAGTATACTTTGCAGTCTCCCAATATGAAAGATACATAACTTCTCAAAAGTTGGCAATATTTATGTGACATGTCGTATTGCACATATCTATTTAAAACTTTTATAATAACCTTAAACTGTAAAGTGGCTTGCTAAGGAAAATGGAGACTAGTTAAGGCCAGTTACAAAGATGGATGAGAATAAAAATTATTAGAATAATAAGAACTTCAGTGTAATATAAAATGTCATTCCCTCAGGTGGGCACGAGAGACCTAGTTTTGCAGGAAAGGATTAGAAGCACACTGTTCAGAAATTAGTGGCACCAGTAAGGCATGCTGAGAACAAAATTATTGATACAATGGATATAAAAAGTTCTATAAGAATGTTTCCTCTTATGTAAAATTTATCCATGATTTGAAAAAGTGATGTGGTGTTCTCCAAATTAGAATTCTGTCATTTTGGAACAGATAACATTTTGAAGCAGATAACAAAAATCTTCTAAAATAAACAAAACAAAAAAAAAAATCCTAAAACTACCACACTTCCTTTCCAAATCCTGAATCCTGAAATCCCAAGCTAGAAGAGAGGTATAAAAATTGTTACCTGTTCTCATAGGTAGCAGCATTCAGTATTTTCCTGGTGAAGCCCTCGTTCAGCCATTTGTCTTTTATTGCTTCTGTGACTCCAGGCCTCTTAGCGGGGTCAGGCTCAAGTAAGGACTGCATGAAGTGTACAGCTCCTGTGCAGTATTCAGATGAAATGGCTTGTTTACTGGTACTATCTGATTATTTGGGCAGTGCAAAACTTTCCTTTTTCAGAAACGTGGCACTTGCCCCACTTCTCCACGTTGTAAGAACCTCAGCTAAAATCCGGTCTCTAGGGCTGCCTCTGGACTGCTGAGTAAAACAGCTCCGTCTCTCCTCTGAGGCCGCTGTGGTCCCGTGTGGTGACCCTGTCCCCCCAAGGATGCCAGAGCGGGGTGGGCAGCATGGGCCAAACCACACCAGGAGGCATGCCGTGGGCCTGTGGGTGCTGCTGGAGATGCAGCACTGGACCTCACTTCCTGATTTGCTTGATTTACACCAGTGAACGGCATCAACAGCGATCTCAGCATTGTGCTCACTCAGCATCTGGTCAGGGCTCTGGGAAGGGGCATTTCCGTGCCAGCTGAGTACCCAGGAGTTACGTTCCTCACACAAAGAAGCCAATCTCATTGATAAAACCCTCCGTATCAAGGGAAGGAGATGGACCCGTGTGCTCAGATGACATGTTGTGCTTTGGCTTCCTGGAGCTGGGACAGAGAAAGCTCAAACATTCCCATATGTCTATCACTCAGTTCCAACACTGTATAAAGTCCCTGTCTTATTTTTTCTCATTGGGAAAACTCTACTGAATTCTTCCATATTCCTTGGGGATGTTTTGAAATGAGCAAAATGGCAAGTGAGCATTAACTGGGAACATAGTGCTCCTTTCACTTGTAATCTCCTTCAGAAGAATTTAGATCTAAAGTATGCAAAGCTCGTTTGCTACTGCTCTCACTAAATTCCCAATGGGCAAGGGAACAATGGAGTTATCCACAATCTTCCACTAACTGTGTGGGCTTTGTAGAAAAGCAGAGATAATGCATTTATTAGTAGAAGCTATAACAATAGCATAAATAAGAAAAATTAAAAATATAATAATTGCAGCTATGGAGGGCTTGTAGAAAAATGGAGCTACTATCTGGCAACCAATTTCCAAAGAAAGATAAATGAGACTAATGTACAAACGTTCTGGACAGCTACGGTAGATATCCTCATAGCATTTACTGGGGGAGAAAAAGAAATTGAATCATCACCATTATCTTCTGACTGTAACTCCAGACTAGATCCAGCTAGCTTAGTCAGGAACTGTCAGCTGCTTCCCAGCGCTTGGCTGCAGGCAGCCACTGAAGCTAATCTTGGTTCCTAGGCTCATTCTTGCCTAATGTCACAGCAAGGCTGCTCAAAACGATGGGGAGATCTGAACTCCTGCTGGTAGATAGCTGGGCAAAACATGTCTCATTCTGCTCGGCTTTCTGACTCGGTGAGTGAAGACGCACTGTGAGAAGGGGCCCAAGCCTGTGGTGGCCAGCAGAGAAGGTGCTAGTCCAGGTGGAGAGAAAATGCGGATTAAAGCAAAGGTACATAGAAATCACTGTAAAGCAACAGAGTTTTGAGCTTTGAGGGAGTAAATTTTGGACTGCTAACCCAGAGTGTATATACACCAACATTACTTCTGGGTTTTAGAGCCGTGGGCTAGAGCTTTTGAGAATTATCTTTCCCAATTGTCCTAAAAGACTCCATAGACTGGACCTCATTAAAGATTGTCAGTAAAATTAATTGAGAAATGTTGTATTTCAGTTCTTTCTCATGAAAAAATATGAACAGACTCTTTACAAAAATAACCCTCCTGTTTCTTTAATTATCTCAGTGTTGTGGGTTCTGTCAGTAGCCAAAAGATAAGCTCTTCAGGAAAAATTATCTAAGGTTTTGACAGCTGATTTTTGGGAAAAATAGGAAAGAATGCCTGGCTATGACACACAGCACAGGACACACTAAACATGACAGCATTCTCATTTACCACACAGCTGCTCCACTTCTGTAAACGCAATGTACATATTATTCCTCCTGTAAATAAGAACCAAGAATAGTGGTCTTTTGAAGAGAAACCAATGTTCTTTTCCTGCTACCCTGAGAAAGAGCTCTTGCCTAAGGCATAAAAAAGTTATTTCTAAATGCAAACAAAGAAACTGGAAAAGGTAATTCTTATTTTCCATAAGATTGCCTTATTGCTAAATTCACTTTTTTACATGTGTTATAACTTTTATACATCAGTAATCTTTATAAAAATTGGAGTGCTTTACCAGGGGAGATATCTGATGGAATAGGGCTGATTTCTCCAATTAACATCTTTTGGTGTAGTTGCTTGATATTAAAAGGTTCCACCGTGAAAGGTAACGTGCCAGTTAGCATAGCAAACATGCTTACACCTCTGTCGAAGAAAAAGACAAACATCAGAGCTCCATATAATGCTAATAAATATTTATTTAAAAATCACAGAAAGCTATGACTCAGTTTTCAGAGATTTGCCTTCAGTATCAAGAATGAGGTTACAAATTACCTCTAAGCAGCAATTTGTACTGAATACACACATCTTACGCCTTTTTTTCTTTGTGTAAATGCTATTTTATCTCGAAAAGAATGTTGTGGGAAGTGTGTATAAAATAGACTGTACAGTGAGTGACTGGAAAGCCTGCAGTGTTGAAAGTGGAAACCTGCTGTTTATTTTTAAAATAAGCTGATTGGAGTGTCAGTGTAGTGTACCCAGCCCAGCAGAATAAAGCATTTCAGTTTGGAGGCTGAGTGACAACACAGAGCTGGGACTGATGTGATAGATCTTGTTCCAAATAGTAATTCAGTTCTTCTTGCTTTGCTGGGATTGCTAAATTAGGTGTGACTTATGCCTAGAAGGCATTCGTTTTGTAACAGCTTGCTGTTGGCTAAAGACGGAAAACTTTAACTCTTGCGAAAGAGCAACAGTCTGCTAGCAGCGACCAGCAAACTTTGTGAGGGTTTGCCATTCAGTTTGGAGAAGTACCAATGTTTGGAAATCTTGCTTAGCCATTCCGAGGTTGTGATCGGGGAGGTTTTCTTGAACACTCTCCATGGTACTTCCTTGCTCCAGCTGAGCTGCGCTGTCACAACAGCACTTCTCCATCCTTTGCCCTTTCTCGAACTCAGTCAAGACAGTCATTTTAGGAATTCAGGCAATTCTAATTGCTCTGGTTCATACACTAGTGCAGATGATGACAGTGTTATCTGTGAAACAGATCTGCTCTCGATGTGCACAACTGCAACCTTTTTTTAACGTTTTCAGACAGCTGGAAACCCATGAGATGATAATGGCACCATTGAAAAACCATGAGACAGTGGTGGAACCCTTTTCTAATTGTTGTGTTGGATTGCATTTGAATCAGTGACCTATGGATAAACACTTTTTATTGCTCTCAACTAGGACTTATCTTGCCTCATTTTAACTAGCTAAAACCTAGATATCAGTAGTTATTAATGGAAAGAGATGGAGCATTCTAAGAGAGATTCATCACAGCTATGTTGTATAGATATTTTAGGTGACAGTTAAGTATCTCAGGAGATGAACTACCTTGCTGCATTGGCAATAACAGAACACTAACTGCCTGGTATACTCCAGATGCCTGGTTGTTAGATGGCTGCATTTAGGTGACTTTACCAAACCTTCTGATAAATCTAGTCCTCCAATGTAATGCTTTCCAAAACTTTCCTGACGAATCCTTTGAGTAAAAATGTACGGAGATACAATGGAAACATACTTCTATGAAACAACATTGAGTTGACTGAGGTAGCAAGGATTGTTGTTCTACAATACATAATAGCATGTGGCTTAAATGTATCTGGAGTTAAAGTGGGAGAAGGGCCCCTGAATATTCTCTGATGAGTGGAGTAATATGCAGTGCAAATGGATCTCTGATGTCATTACAAGATTAAATACATTTTTCTTTTCAACACTGCAAACACTACCTTGCACTTTAAATTGCTGGTGATGATATACATGATTGGTGCTTTAAACTGGCAATAGTTCTTTTCGTCAGCCTACTGGATGGGGAAATCCCCAAGGTACGGGAATTTGGGGAATGGGTGGAACTACTATCCTAAAATCTCTTTTAAAATCTTATGCACAAATTATGGCTAGTTAACAGTAATACACTTACTGTTAATTGTAGCTGGAATCTGATGGTATGTTAAACTTGGAAGTTTATTAGCTATAACAAACTGCTTTTCTAACCCACTGAAGTATCTGGATTTGTTTGAATACAGCAGCTGTTTCCTCGATTCAGCTGGTGCACCAAAGCTAATCACTTTCCAGTCCTCCAAAGAATCTTTAAAACCTTATGCAAAAAAGTCACGATTAGGCAAAACAGGCACTGCTGTTTGCTGTTACCTCATAGGAGCCTTAGCTGTATTGCAGTTGAATCTGGTTGGTTTTCTGACTGAATATGGCTTTCTGGTTACTGTTGTAAGGGCCCCTTGTCAATTCTGCTGCATAAAGTCAGTATTTCTGCACTACACTGAAATCTGTTGATTCCAGAGTCCAGTTGATCTGTAATCCTTTAATTATTTTGTGACAATAGGAATAAGTTTCCTAATTAGTAATTTAGTCCATCAGAATTCCCTTTTCTACTATGATAATGTGAACAATTGAGATTTATATTATAAATATGTTTTATGCCTAAGATGCAGAATATGTCTATGTTAAAGACCAAGGTCCAAATTTAAGTTTTATATAGCCCTTGACTGTTATGTGATGTTTATTAACAGAGTGAGCTCAGTAAATGTTTCTAAGGTTACTGCTTTGCCCTCATTCAGACATCTGAAATGTGAAATAAGTATTATCCTATTTAAGTGCTGACAGCATCCTCTGGACCTGATCTGTCTGTGTTATGTCTACATAAATTTAGAGTAGCACTCTTGAAATCCAGACTTATACTGAGGTAATTTGGTAGAATTTGTCCCTTCATCTTCAGCTTTATGTACCGTTCATACCCTGTAAATTTAGAGGAAGATGAGGTATAAGAATCATAGTTAGGTCAAACCCTAATATATAGTGTGTCTGCCACAAGCAATTCTGGAGAGGAATAATTTACATTATATATTTAGAATCCTTTTTCTCTTTTGAGCATATAGAAATGCTAAGCTTCTGTTTTAGACATCTGAATCAGATACCTATATGTAAGTACCAGCAACCCTGTAAAACAAACTAAACCACTTGGTGAATACACTGTTTAGCAAAGACTGCTGAGAACTCCTCAAGGAGATTCTGTATTCTCGCAGCTGGACAAGCGAATGGGACAGTCCAGTTCAGAGCATCTCTGTACACCCTGGCCTCCCGTTCCTTCTGACAGGTGTCCTGAATGAGGTGGTTTGGATTTGGATCAAATGCAGCATTGTGTGTTGAAAGAAGGAGAACATTAAGATCCTGTAGAACAATATGGTTGTGGGGTGTCATGAGAGGTGGCACTTCTAAGCCAAAAAGTCCAATTACTCGTACCAGCCTTGTGAGCTATTTGAAATCCATGGGCTTTTATCACTGGCTTCAATATCTGGATTTTTACACTACCACTTGTTAGTTAAGACACTGTAAAGAATTATGACTATAATTGTAAATAGGTGGGAGGAGTCTGGACAAAGGTGCATTTGACTAGTCACTGGGTTTTTTAATCTTAAAGCTCTAGATGAAAATTTGGCTTAGTCTATATTACTTATGCTCATCTTTTATGCCCTGAATCATACCTGCTAGAAGTGGGCTTAAAAAATGTGTTCAAGGTAGAACACTCAGACCCCGGCACATAGTTACTTATCAAAACAGCTGAGGAGAAGCTGATATGTGGGCATATATATACATATATATATATATATATATACACAAACATGATCTGCCTTTGGACAAATGATGGACGTGGAGAGCCATTGTCTTGTCAAGATCCATGAAGATCAAAAGATACAAAAATCAAGTTAATATACTATCATTTTCCCAGCTCTACCTAGAAGAAACATCAACTTGGCTTCTGGAACTGCAAATGCATTTGAAAAGTCTGAGATAATTTATGTGAAAATTACTCTTTTGATTGCACCTTCTGCATTCTCCTTTATTATAAGAGATATATCCTGTATATGTAATGAACAAGGAAAATTGAGTCTATTGGGGTTTGTGCCACTTATGAAGTAAATAACGCCACTTTTTTATTCATCATCTGGTATCAGGGGCCTAGCTAAGGTATGGAAGAAGGTCTCATAGCTCTGCTATAGCCACATCTTTGATCTGTGTGTCCCTGATACTCAATTTTTTTGGTTTAGATTTCTTCTGTTGGCCAAATATGCCTTAGACAGAAAATGACCAGATGTCAGCCCAGGGCTTCTGATTTTGACAGAAATTACTCAGATATCAGCTGAACCTGTATGCCAAAAGGACAGGAGGATGGGGAATTCATCTGAGTGTGTTTGTACGTACAAGTTCTTTCTCTGTCTTTTTAGAACAGGATGCTAGATCCAGATACCCTACCTTCTGTTGACTTCCCTTGCCACAGGGTTTCTCCTAAATAGCATGTGTATTGCTCGTTTGTTTTTTTTCTTCCTTGTTTTGCAATGGGTACACATTCCAGAATACTTTTTTCACACCCATAAGGTGTTTTTTTTCTGGAAACCCCTCTCCAATATATCTCTACTTTTGCTGTTGATACCCCAAAGCTGAGTGCGACCAACCCATTTATATCAGAGTCTTGCCTGACCCATTCAGTGTGGAGAGTGTTTTGATAAGTATATTTTTAGATCTACTTACATGGACCAGACATCCACCTTTGGACCATATTTTCTATGAGCAAGGAGTTCTGGGGCAGCATAAGCTGGACTTCCACACTGAGTATGTAACAGCTCCTGGGAGAGACCATCAAACTTCATGGTATTGCTCAGACCAAAATCTGATGGTCACAAAAACAAAGGCAAAGAAGTTTTAGTGTCTTCTCAGCTTTACTAATCGGCTGAAGATAGGAGAAAGATGAAAACAGCAGCTAGGTGTAGCATCTGTTGATACCAGTTTGGGTTCAAATAAATGTGCCACGAATTAGCAGAGGAGTAACAGTGAAGTTACCCAGCCATGGGTCTGGCTTGGTTGATTTTGATTTAGCTGTTTTAGTTTGCCTCAGGTGACTATATGCTTGTACAAGAGCTTTGCTACACAGCTGCATTAGCATAGCTTAATGAGCTACAGCATTTGGCTCAGCTGGGTGTGCTTTAGCCCGTTGTAAACATGGGGTAAAATGTGCTAACTTAAGCCTTTTTCTCTGTATATGTGCATGTGTGCTGGGGGGAGGGAAGAGAAAGGTGTGATTGTAAAGGACTGGCTGGCTATAAAACAGGGGTGAAGAGTTGGTGCCTTTTTTCTCAGAGGTGTTAAGCTTTTAAAAGTTTGGAAAATACTGGGTTAAACATGTGGCGTCTCTAGGAGTGAGCTTCCCTTGCGGGGATTTTTCTGTGCGGTTTCCATAGAATAAAATTAATGTTTCTCTGAGCTGTGTTAACTGCTTGGTGCAAATTCCCTCATTTTTATAAATGTGTGCTTCACAACCCTAGCAAGATTTCTGTTAGTGACCAAAACAGTCTTTTTTATTTATTTATTTTTTTTTAAACACATACCAAATGATGAGGTTTCTAGTTGGAGTAATGGCTCAACAGAAGCTAATGTGTCCATACCTGTGTTTCATCCCAGAAGATTTATTTCTTTCTCTACAAATCACTTCTGTTAGGAACAGCTTTCTACACATAAAAGCTATAATTGTTTCTTGCTTCTCCAGCAATACACAAGGGAAAACAATAGGCAAAATTGTTTTCCTTGTTCTCTTAAAAATATGTTTTAGTTAAAGCTCAAATAAACAAGCTGTTAAGTTATACTTCATAACTTTTATTTGTTCTAAAAGCTTGAATATATTTATTGAATAATCACAAGCTCACTCATAAAATGTGCTGTTTAGATAGTAGCTCAACTGTCTCTGAAAGCCACACAAAATAAAAAGCTGAAAACAAGCTTCACAGGTAACATGCACCTACCAATGATTTTGATGTTGTTGTTCTCATCAAGAAGAAAATTTTCAATTTTTAGGTCCCTGAAATGAAGACAGAAAACAAACTTTAAGATGCTTGATGTCCCAGCTAATTTTTTGCAGATAGTTTTTAGCAGAGTTTAATTGAAATAACAATAGTTCTGCACAGCTCTGCCTACAATTGTAACACGATCCTTATTCCTTCCTGGTTTTCAGTTGGAAAAATTGAAACTTTCTGTATTTCAGGGAATATTTTATGAGTATATATTTTAAAAAGACCATTAATTTTAGGAATCGTCTGTTCTACCATTTTTTTTTTTTTTTAAATGAACAGCATTTTTTTTTTTTTTTTAACTTTTGAGTAAAAAAGAAAATTGCTCCTACTTGGACCGGAGATTTTTTTGTCTTTGTTTGAAGTATTGAGCACTGCTGAGTATTTCTGCCTTCCCTGTGAGTAAACTGTGCCTGAGAGATATGAAGGATGAGGAGAGAACTGGAAAGTGAGGTTTGCCTTGCTTGCGGAAGAGGGGAGGTGTACCGAAGCTGGGTCAGGGACAGATACCGTGAAGGTGGAGCCACCTTCACAGTAATATTTATGTAAACAGAGTCAACCGGTATCAGCCACCCCCGCACGACATAATCCAGGGCTGCAGGACCAGTGCTGTGAGCTGGCTCAGGTGCTTACTGCGGGAACATTCATATCCTTACAAATTCAAACCAAAAGCCAGGATATTGCTCCACTGTGGGGAGTGCCTGAAGTGGCAGCTGAAATCTTTTGCAGTGTGGAGGAATCCTCAGCCAGTGTAATTTGGGTGCTGGGAGCGGGGCTTTGCTGACTCCCATCATGGCCTCCCGCGTGCCGCTGGGGGCCCCCCTCGGCTCTGCGGCCAGCGCGGGGGGGGACAGGGCAAATGTCAGAAGCGGCGCCGGGTATGTGTGTTGCCTTCCCAGCCTTTCCGAAGTTGTGAAGCACTTCCTGACAGCCCAGAGACCTCGAAGAGGACAAGAGGACAAAGCAGAAGGAGGGATGGGGACAAGGAGCAAGGAGCAAGATCTGGGAGGACCGGAGCTGCACGAACAGCACTGCGCTGCTGCAGGGGATTAAGTCTGGAGGTGTACCTGGTGGTCCCGATGGCTGGTTTTATGGGAGCATCTTTTTATCTCCTTGGTTCTGGATGGGGCAGCAATGTACTCAAAACCCTCTGCTGCCCCAGGCTGAGAATGGAATGGAGATGGTTTCAATGATAACTTCTTAATTGGTTTTAATTTGAATAGCATGTTTTCTGGAGTGGAAAATAAGCCAGTGCCCAAAAGATGGGAGGTAGATTTAAGACAACTTTGTTCATAGTTTATCCCTGTGACACAGCCCTGTCCACTAAAACTGTGGTTTAAAACTAGGTGTGTTTCAGGCCACTGCAAATTTGATATTTCTATTTGATTTAGCACCCCACAGTGCACTCTGATGACTTTCAGTACACTACGATTAAATAATGTTACATTGGATTGCCACAACTGCTGTATAGTCTGAGCTGAGTGCTCACACAGTTAATAAAAACGTATGTTTTCTTGCCTGAAAAAACTGATTATGGTCACTGTTAAAGTTTACATAGTGTCAGAAGTTATCTTGCATCAGATATATCTTGTTCTTTTTTTTTCCAGAGGAAACTTTCCCAGTAATGTTGTAAGTTTAAGCAACATCGTTAAGTTTTTCTCATTCCCAAAGGGACTTTCAAGAGTGCCTAGAGGGCAGCTTGTGATGCTCCTCCAGGTCTTTGGTCCAGTAGTGATTCAAAAGGCTATATGACATTTTTATGTGGAAGAAGGGAAAATATCCAGGAAAAATTAGGAACATACAAGCAAGTTACTGTCACTTAGCAAGCACCAGCTTTAGGATTTTGTAGCTGACTGTGTGCATGTGCTAGCCCAATCCAATTGCGAGGCAATGTGATTTAGTGTATATGTCTTTATTTGAGGTTTTTAAGCTCAGATGCAATACCTCACCACTTGGCTATGTCTAGAGCAGGCATAGGGATAGTTAGCAGAGCTCAGTTGGATAAGCTTGTGAAGCTGTTGAACCTGGTCTTGTGCCTGATCCTTCTTGTATCTGGCACAGTGAAATGCTGTGTGCTGGGAGAATAGGCAAGAGAGTCAATGCTCCATCTTCTGGGTTTGGCCACTGTGGCATCAACATCAACCATGATCTTGCATGGACAAGAAAGGGGCTACCTTTACTGTGAAATGTAGACTCAACCTTAATTTAAGCCATAAGGATTTGCTGGATCAGTGCTGATTTTCTTGCTGAATAGGAAAAGTAAAGCTCAAGAAACAAAATAGCTGTCAAAACATAGCACAGGATTTCTGATGAGTGATATCAATTTGAATTAAAAATAGTTACAAAACTGGTCAGTTTTTCATCAAGTATATTATTAAGAGAATTGAAAATACTGTTTTTCCAAGGTATGTTCCAGGGTTAAAAATTAGGAATGCCTATGAGACACTACTGAGCAAAAGTAAATTGAATTAGTAAATTCCTAAGTACATCACTTAGGAATGAGACCTTGCAGTGACCAGGCACCTCCATGTTAATAAAATAAAGGGATTCCAGGCATAGACCCAACCATTGGCACACAATTATCCAACTCACAAACCATGATACTTGGTGTGATTTTTACCAGCACCCTCCCTGTGGAGCTGCAGCTGTTCTCAACAGGCAGCTTGGGAACCCTCCTTCCCTTGTGTTAAAGTGGTGCAAAGAGTTGAGCTTTGCTCAGTGCTTAGATGAGAAAATCAGATTGACTTTGTGAGGTAACTTTCCTATTTCTGTGCTCATCTTTCTGGAAACATTGATGCCTTCTTTTCAGAAGAGGATACACCCACAATTATCCTCGTGGGTTTAACCTCCACAGCAAGTTGCTATAAATCACTGCAGCTGGAGCTGAGGTAGGAAGCCCTTCCAGATCCTTCCCAGTCTGCTTCTGCTATGAGCTCAAGGCCACAGCTCTGAATCTCAAAGCTAGCAGCAGATCACAAGTTGAGGTACTGCTGACTGAACCTGTGCCTGGCGGCCTAGCAAGCTGGGCTCCTGCCGGACTGTGCAACTTCATACACCCTATGACAAGCCACTTGAGTGCCAGGGATGAATTTTCCTTTGGTTAGAGGCATTTGATAGTTAAAGCAAGTCTCCAGAGGAGCTCACACCACTTTGTACCTGGCTATTCTCAGGGTATGCAGCAAAATTCTCTGTTGCAAAGCAAAATGTTACCAACAGAAGAAAATAAAAGTAAGGGAAGAAGTCTGGACACTCCCCTGCTCATCAGAAAGAGTTGTTACCAAAGAAAAAGAAGGGAAGAGGGCTTGAGGAATTCATAAGGAATGTTGTCATGGGAAGAACGTAAATGTTATGAGCACGAGCATTTAAGAAATGCTGTAAAATAGATTAGTTAGGGAACCAGCAAGGCAGGGATATCAGCCTGGACTGAATGGGTGAAATCCCTTGAGTTTATTTCTGGTGGGGTTTTTTTGTTTGTATAAATTCTCTTGGTCAAATACTGTCTATTTCTTTCTTGTCCATTCCTTATTAATTAACAAATCAAATATAATTAAGTGTTGGATTGCAAGCATTTCAAGTCACAAAGCACATATAAATGCTGAGCCATCACATTCACAGCTTATTTGTTTCATGGTTGCTGTAACAATACGGTCAACTGGATTACTTGTTAGGTCCTGGGGGTTTCTTGATGAGTGCATTTACCATGTAAAATTAAGGATCTGCTTGACCATGAATTATTAAGTAAACCAGAAAAATGGTGGGAAAAACTGTGTCTTGCCTATTCTCCCACCTAAAACAGAAGTCCTTATTCTGCTGCTCTTGGCATATGCACCAAGATCCTCAGTGCGGGGAAGAAAATCAGCTCTCCTTGCATAGGCTGCTCAGGTTCCTCTAGCAGTGGCTGAAGTCGTGATCTGTTCCTGTAATGCAAAAGCCAGCGTGGAAGATCAGCTACCTGCCACAGATCTGGACCCACAGGACCATGTCCTCTGCGTGAACAGTAAGCTGTGATTCCTCAATCTTCTGTCCTGAGTGATGTGTGGTTATTTCAATATGTTGAGGCTAACCAATTGAAATCAATATTTATATGCATAGCCACAATGAAATATTTGAATTAGATACAGGTTTGTCACCAGCTAATTCTGAGATAATCATGGCAAAGTATTGATTTTTTGCGTCCATCAGCTCTTATCCCTGGACTTTGTTACTTTACTCCCCAAGGAGTTCTTTATTAAGATGGACTGAGAGAATATAGTCTTCTTTGCAATCCCTGTTTTTACTAGGGAAAATTAAAGAAATGCTCTTGTTGAAGAAGAGCAATCTATGTTCTTGCACACTTTCTTTTCTTACAGTTGTTTGGAAGAGGTGAAACGTCTTACCTGTGAACAATCCCCTGGCAATGCAGGTGCTCTACTGCAGACAGAATTTGCCTGGTGTACCTTCTTACTTCCCTTTCTGCCAGCCTCTTTTTGTCACAAATTTTGTCCAGGAGGTCCCCACCAAGGCACAGCTCCATCACCATGTAATAGGAGTTGTCAGTCTCCAAGGTCTCATATAGCCGAACAACATTGGGGTGCTTGATCATCTCATGTATCCGTGGCTCACGCTTCATGTTCTTTAAAACGTAAGAATCCTGCTTGGCTTTTCTCTTGTCAATGACTTTAATGGCTACCTAAATTGCAGGATATATGCAAATTGGCAACAGGCTTTGCAACTCAGATAAATTTTCAGAAGGATGGGGAGTAAGCTGACACGTGGGAGAAGCTGGTTTTGACATCATGTTGATAATCAGAATCACAGAGGGAGACTTCCCTGATGGAAGAATACACTTCTTATTTCTCTTGAAGGCCAAAACAGGAAGGCTGAACTCTGTCATATCTATGCCTGATTGCATTAATAAATATGCATTTATGAAATGTTGTCAAATGCAAAAAATCCCTATGTACTTGACTGGTAACTGCATTTGTACTGTACCACATCTTTTTTCTAACATGCTCCCTTCTGACTCGGTCTAAAAACAACTCAAGATATTGGCTATAGTGGGCTGGGATTAGACTCTTTGCAATTTGGGAAGCTAGTCAGCCAGTGAAGCTCCTGAAGCCACAAGAAAAGTAAAAATGAAAAAGCCACTTGATAGCAATCTACCATTCCACAGTTACGTCTAGTTGTATGCTATTTTAGCCTGACTGAGCTAGAGATAGCAGATATTATCTATGTCCTGTCATATAAATGATTGCTGTTGGAGTGGCTGGCTTTTCAGTATGTGTTGTCCATAGCTTTAAGGGTCAGATGCACAGTACTAATTACTCAATGAGGATTACCAAGGAAAGCAGATAATAAATTGTCCTTATGCCATCATCCTGTTCTCTTTCAGCGGGAGGATACCTTTGTTGTCTATATTGTTTTATAATTGTGAAAACAGTTGCGTTCAATACATTTTCACACATGTGACTAATTATACATGAGCAATAAACTCAATTTATGAGGTTAATTTATGAGGATAAGGTTCAGAGGATAATTCACTGAGTAGATTGTGGTTTGCAGATTAAGTGGTCTGAAATTTTCTGACATAAATTAGTGTGAGGTTACTTGCAATTCCTAGAGCATGGCAACCTCTCATTAGGAGCTTACCTTCTCCCCTGTGGGGATGTGCAGCCCCTCCATCACCTTGGCAAAGGAGCCCTTGTTGATCATTTTGCCTACTAGGTAATTCCCAATTTGTTTGGAGTGGGGGAAAGTCTTCCCAGTCTCTTGGGGCATCTTGTTAAAACAAGCAGGTATTTTTATATCCTTTAAGTTTTTCTCCCATTCTGGTAATATTCTCTCCAAGTTGTCAGTATCTGTCATTTTGTCATCCAAGCCTGCTTTCATCGCTGTGCGCATCCCTGGAGAGTCAGATTTGTATTGCTACTTTCCAGATGTAGCTTCTGATTCACAGCAGATCCAGGCATTAAGTCTGTACATTCTGTGGTGCAAGTGCCATCCTGCTGATCACAGAGCAACTAATCCTTTCCCTCCGAGACTCTGTGTTTGTCACTGATCTCTAGCCTGAGCACACAGATCTGCTCAAGCAGAACCAAGTGGTAGATTATTAACCTAACCTGATATGCAATGTCAGTTAATGCCCCAGAGCTGCCGAGTCAGATGACACATAATCCCAGCATTAGCCTGGAATATACGGCTCTCTTCTTCCTACAATATTTCCCTAAATACATGCTCAGTCCAAATTGCACCAAACTAAAGTTTTCCTGGCATGCGTATTGCTGACATGCAAGGCACAAATTTACTCCAGAAACACCGTGGTAGCATGAATGCAAAGCTGATTTATGTACCTGACGCCATGCAAGCATTTACACATTTGCTGTGTAAAGCATATAAATATATATGTACTTGTAGTACATTTAGGTCCCAGGGCCTCAGCCTGTCTCCAGGTCTTGCAGAGGTATCTTTCATTTCCTGGGACTTGATTCCTCTTTTGTAAAATGTAGCAGTGGGGACAGAGTGTGTGTGTGTTTGTGTATGTGTGTGTGTGAGCATTTTACTCCTTACAGCAGTGACTGATAAAAAGAACAAAGGAAAAGAGAGGTGTTTTTCTACAGCTGTTGTCTATATCTGTTTTCATTACCTGGGTTCTTTCCAAAGTTGCGGAGAGAGAAAAGAGCCTTTCCAGCGAGCGCTTTCACATACCTGCAATTTGAGCTGGGAGTTGCCATCTCTCTCCACTGACTACAGTGACATCTTAGGGACCCAGAGCCCTTCCCAGAACTTAGTGCGATGACAAATCTTTTCTCCACCCTTCGTCACTCGGATTTGAACAATAAGCAGCATCCTGCTTGCCTGATTTGACTTGGGAAGCTCATGAAGGGCAAAAATTTGCCAGGATGAGCGAAAATGAGAAGGAATTTTTAAAAAAAAGTGTTTAAAATCAACAATGGATTTACTGTATGCTTTACAGTTCAAACTCCTGTGGGCAAGTTCAGTGGTTCATCATCTGCATACAGCTGCTTGCAGGCGCAAGGCAACCCCTTGCTTTTTAGTGTCTGAGTAAAAGCTGAGCAGATTTTCTGTTCATAACATACTCAGTTGTCACACTTTGAGCTGTATCAGTTGCCCAGCTGGAACGGGACTTAATTTGCTAACTTAAGTGGCTTTTTTCTATTACTTACAGAAAGCCAGAAACAAAAAAGACATGGTTTTCTGAGGAAAGAATGAGGAAATTCTCCTTGATTTGTGCTTATTATTTGCTCTGCCTCCTTCCCGTCTTCCTAAACCACTGTTCATTGACTTTCCCACTAAAAACAAAAATATAGAAGCTAGGGGAACCACTGTATGGAACAGAAATCCCATATTTCTGTCACATTTCAGAAGAAAGGAAAAAACCTCTTTAAAAATATAACAAACATTTAAAACATGATAGCTAGCTAAGTTAACTATTGCTATTTTTGGGGAAAGTCCCAGCCTGACACCTTGAAAAATGTTGAAGTCAGAAAGCTTCCAAATACCTTTTAAAGTAATTTTTTTGGCACAGTGGAGGATTAAAAAATGGGATACAGGGCAGAAGGAGCAAAAGAGAGTCCAACTCTGTGTTAGGGAGTCCATGACTACTGATCACAAGCCAAATGAAACTGAAATCCTGCATGAGAAGGGAGCCGTCCACCAGCGCTAGTAGTGTCTCTGCTCTGAGATACAGTTGTTACGTGATGTGCTGCATTGCAACGTGAAAAAAGTGTGAAAAGAGACCAAATAAAGCAGATTTCTGATAGAAGAAAGATGCCGATAAGGAATAATCTCCAGCAAAGAGGAAGGGTTAGCACTGTAGAAGGGATGACCACCTTAATAGCTTCAAAAAATAAACAGCCTTCCTCCCCAGAAAAGCCCTGTGGCATATTTGCACCACCTTGCATTTGCTTGGGGGGTGGGTGGGAGAAGAGGCAGTTCTGCTTCCTTGAGAAATAAAAAGAACACAAACCAGCAGAACCACAGATACAAAGAAAGTATACAGTTTTCCTACCAATAAGTGGGGAAAAAAAAGGTTTTTACATGAAATGGAGGCTAATTCCATGTTTGAGAAGACAAAATTTTGCTTTATCACTGCATATTCTTAGTACCCTTCTAGGGAAACTGAAAAGTGTTTCTCACAATATTTGTGCTACTGATCCAGAAAATATGAGGCCGTGTGTGTGCGGGAGTTTTTATGCAAAGACCAGGCTAGTTAAACAGCCTCATTATATTCAGCAGAAATAAAACAGCACAAGCAGGAATTTGTCACTTCACAGCCACCATCTTGGATTTCCTCCTGCCTGTACCTATATCCAAAGCTCTTCTTGTCTCACATTAGAGATGAGGCAATGTGGTCCCGGTTTCTGGTTTTTGCCACTGGAGGGTGAAGCCTTGGCTTAATGAAAGACTGGGTTTTACTTCTTGGAGTAATTCTTTTTGAAGTCCTAATTTATACTCTTGTGAATACTGACAGTTTTGTAAGATCTAGTGTGAGATTTTTCAAAGGGGCCAAAAAGTCAGATTCTTAGAGCTGTTAAGTCCCACGGATCTGACTCAAGAGTTCCCCCAAATCCTGGCTCTCTGGGATTGCAGAGCATATGCCCTGCCTAAAGGTGTGTTTCCACAGGCACCGAGGGCATGCTGACCCGGTGGGGGGCTGTGTTGCTGTGCGGGAGCAATGCTGCGGTGGGCTGGGAGACAAGGGCTGTTGGTCAGGAGGCAGCATCTCAGCAGAGACAGGTCTCATTAGCTGGGAGGCAGCAGCCGGCTCTCTGGAGTCAAGTCAGTGTCTCCTCCTGGGTCGACACTGTCATAGGGATGTACTGGCACTCAGAGAATTACAGCAAACATCTCTTTTCCAAGAGTGGTGCTTTAATGCACGCAAATTCGTAGGTGCTTTGGGAACTCTCCCCGCTCCCTTGACTTTTGAATTTCCCACTAACCGCTGCCGTCTGCTGCTTGAGGTACTAATGGTGCTGGCTTAGGTCCTGAGCTTGGCCTGCTTTGGAGGACTTGAAGGTTGCAAACAGTTCATATTTCCACATGGCTTAGGTTACCTGGGTGTAGGACATAGGCTCAGCACCTCCTTCTAAGACTGAAAGCTTTTCAAGTTTCATGCTGAGAAGTGGGGATTTCCTTTTCAGAGAAGGAAATCCAAGATGGTGGCATAGAAATGTGGTATTATAATGTGGTAAATAAGGGAAAAAAAAACTGGTTTGAAGACATGGTAGGAGGAATTTCGTCTAAATAGCAACCTCACAGTCTGTATCGTAATAACTCTCAGATCCTGTAACCACTTCAGTCTGTGTTTTATAACATACCTAAGACATGCCCTTATTGCACTGTAACACCTGCCATATTTTAAGTTATTTCTGACTTCTCATACGCTTTTTGGCAGCCATGGAGTTTACTTTAGAAGTTACTGCATGTGCAAGTTCAGCAGCTTTTCTGCAGGATTTACTTAGTGCCACGTGTTAGGGGGTTAAGAAGGCATAAACTCAAGGGCTGGCCAGACTCTTTGCCTATAGTGGTGTAAATCAGGGATTACTCTCTTTCAGGAGTTGTAGTACTTCCTTAGTCAAAGAAGTGACTATTCTTCACCACCAAAAGACCAGTGGAATCAGAAACATATGGGTTGTTATTTTCTCAGTATCGATCTTGTCCAGCACTCACACAAGTGAATGGGAATATTTCTTTTGTTTTCATAAGGAGTTGGATCACCCTGTTACAGTGCAGAATACTTTGTTCTCCATAATATATTAAATTTTAATTCATGTAAGTGTATTTCCAAGATGTCACTCATGAACGTATTTTACTCACACAATCCATACCACCACTAAATTTTATCTGATTCTGCACCGATTCCTTAGGCTAACTCTTCAATCAAAAGAAAGATTAATAGGTTTACTTTGCAGATGGCCTTTGTCTTTCTGCCATGCAATATATGCTTACCAGATTTGCAAGAAGTTTCTCATGCATGTGGATATTTATTTTCAAATTATTTTCCATTACTAGGAAAGAATCTTGCACCTTTTATTAATTGTCCATGAGTACTGATTCATGGTGTATTTTCGATGAAGTATTTATGTCAGATCTGTGTTTCCTCCAAGGGTCTCTATTTCTCAGACATATTGGCAACTGTGGTCTAGTAACACTTATTGACTCCTTGAAGTAGCCTTTATTGTTTCATTCATGTTTCAGTATTGTGGCTGGTGCTTGAATGCATACAAAAGCATCAAAGCATCTTGGGTCAGTCTTTGAGCAGGGCCAAAATCATACCTGGTGTCAAGCATGTCAGGTGAAGCCTATGGGACACTTCTCAATAATACATCCCAGCTCCAACCACTTGCCTCTCAAGGGCTTCATAAGCCAAAGGTGGCTTCTGTGGACTCCGTAAATACACACTATTTACAACAGTATCTTTCAAACCCTATGGATACCCATAGCTTTTATCTTTAAACCCAACATATTCTTAAGTGTTGTGCTATGATAAGACATACTAGTCCTTCCTGTATGTGTGGACCAGATACAGGAATGCCAGAAGTATCTCAGTAATCTACCTCCAGTTTGGCTCGAAGGAAACATTAATGGGAGAAGCAACAGTAATTTCCAAAACCCAAATCGTATTTGGCATCTACCACCAAAAGTGCCCACAGATGGTGTTTATATTCATGTTTTGGAAACTGAACTCGGACAGTCTGCTCTTTTCACAAAGGCCTTAAGAATTTATGGTCAGACGTGTGAGGTGGATTCGAATTGCTGATAAAAGTGAAGAGTTTTTAAGATTTTGCTGAAACTATCTTTTTTTTTTTTTTTTTTTTCTGTTATAACAATTTACTTTCTCTAAAGACCAAAATAACACTTTTAGTTTTATTCCCCAAACCATAAGTATCTTAGCGCAGATTGTGAAGAGCTGGGTTTGTTGGGGTTTTTTTGTGATTGGAACAAGATACTCACCAAGGTGACTGCAAACACTACAGCATCTGGATTGTTTT